AAAGTGAAGCAGGGATTAGGAGAGCTCAATATTCTACAGCACAGTCAATACAACTGGTAGAGGGTAGGGAGTAAAATAAAATAATAGACTGGGAGAAAGGTAAGGTGATAACTAAACACATGCTGAAAGTCTAGTGTAGACCAGGCAATGGTGATTTCAATACAGACTAAGCTGGTTGGATTAAAAACTAGCAAGGAGTACCACTCATTGAGAACTGTGTAAATGGCCTACCACATACACATTAATCAACATATGCTGACATAACTTTAAATCCTGCGTCAATTACGCCATGAATTGCAACATGCCACATACTCAAACTTAGTGTCATAAAATGGCATGGTTCCACGTGCCACATATAATGTGGAGCTCTTTGTGTTTCGTTTATATGGCACCTTAAATGAAACATGTGGCATGCATCTCCAGCTCTAGGGCTGTCAGCATCAGCCCTGGGACAGCATTGGGTCTGGACAATCACGTGGGTGTCAGCCCTGGCCAGTGCAGTCCCAATTCTAGACTTGCCGCTGTCCCGAGTCTGATGCCAACAATCAGCTGTCAATAACCACCAGGGCAGCCCTGTGGCCCAGTGAGGATCTAGAAGTATTATGACTGGAATCCAAGGATTGTTATGCGCCATCCCAGAAAATCAGGCATCTGGCTATGCACATCTGACAAGGCTGGATGCCCGATTTCTGGGATGGGACAATTTCCTCAGATGCCAACTGCACCATTATATTGACATCTGTCAGGGGCCCTATTCTCAGAGAAGGCCAGAGAAAGAATGATGGGGACAGACAAGAAGCCCAGTACAAGTTTGACGGGAAAATCTACTTTAAGAACTCTGCTCTTCAATGGCCAAAAGCTGAGACACAGTGGCAACCATCCTTCTAGTGCAGGGGTTGTAAACTGGGGGTACACGTAGGTCCCTGGGGGTATGTGGGAGAAAGTGGGAACAAAGTGCCACCACCCGGTGCTGCTGCCTCACAGGTGCAGGGCTGGGGTGGGGCAAAAGCAGGGTTGCACAGATGCTGCACTGCTGCCACTCCACCGCTCATCATGCCCCTGCTCCACATCTGACTGCTTGCCACCTCCCTTCCCCCTACTGCAGTACACTTACTAAAAAGGGGGCCGCTAGGGGTACACTTATTAAAAAAGGTTGAAAACCCATGTTCTAGTGAAAACTTACCCTTTTCTCATTTTTTTTAGCCTGGTGAGAAGAATAGGTAGCATAAGTTTCAATGCAAAGCAGAACTCTTCTTTTTCCACCAAACCCTGCTCTACTATTTGGAAGTCAAGGAGGAATCTTATTTTTTTTAAGCTTTGTTTCAGATCTGTATATGCACTAAGGATAGGGGTAAGGTTGCAGCTTTTATAACTTCAAAAGAAAAAGAAAGAGTTCTACAGTGACTAAAAAAACAAATAAGTGGGCCTACCAGATATCCCATTCCTCTGAAGCCTGGGAACACAAGTCCAAAAGGGGCCACTGGGATCGGACTCTAGGTCCTGGAGTTCACAAGTGACAATCTGACCAAAGGATTTGTAGCATTAACCACTCCAACGCCATTTGCGTTGCACATCACAACCACATAACAGCTCATTTAGAAAAGAAGTAAAAATCCCTATAATGAGCCACAGGTAAAGATCAGGAGAGACAAGGTCACTGCCTTGGTTACTACAGTGGAAGGATATCTGTTAAGTTATTTTCAGATGATCCTAAGGAGATTGAGAGCCATTGATCATGGAATTGCTAAAAAACTCATAGTCCTTGCCAATCTAACCACAGGGAAAAAATCTTTCTTAACCCAAATCTAATGATTAGTTGGATACTGAGCCTCTCTAACCAGGTGCATGAGAAGTTTTTAAGTACTGATAGCAACACAAGCATGTTCCAGTCAAACTCTTACCTCTAGCCAAGGTTGACATTCATTGCTTCAGAAGAAGGTAAAAAACAAGCACGCAAAAAACTCAGAGGCCAAGCACCACATTTCTTCTGGCTACTACAAATGACCAGCAGGTCTGTAACATGACTATCCCATACACCTCCTCCTTAGAGTGCATGCATATTTATCCCCAAGTAACAGTACAGAGATACTTACTACCAGTAAAGCAGCATCAGCAAGAAAGGGCAGATGATGACAGCTTGGAGAACCTGCCAATCCCTGCAGAGGGCAGCCAGACCTGGCATGAGGAACTGCCCAGCCATTGCAATGAAGCTTGCCACCATGGTGATCATGAACCGGTGCCCAGGAGGACAGAGCTCTATCCCTAGAACAACAACACAGAGGCAAATTTTAAAAGGTCAATACAAGGGGAGAAAAGAAATCAATAGTAACAGAAGTGCTCATTAATAGTTTACTGTGGGCCTAGCGTTAATGCACTCCCATAAATCACAATTTATTCCATTTTATTTAAAAAGAGAATATAATATTCCTTTTATAAATTATTTCACTCAGTCCTGTGCCAAAAGCAAGTATTGTATTGGAGAATTATTTTTGGCAAGTACAAGACTGCATGGGGCCCAAAGACTTAGGACCCAGGCCTGCAAGAACACCACGCAGAGATACTGAATACCTTCAATGTTCAGGACTCCCACAGGAATTGAGAATGCTCGGCATTTCACAGGAACTAACTCGCTGAACAAATTGAAAAGCTGCTTGCCCACAAATTCACCATGCTGCTGTTCAAATCTCGTTTCAAACTAAATGTTTCTGAACTGCTTCTGATAGCTAATCTTGCTCAACTTTCAGGCAGCTTCCCATCTATCTTATCCTGTCCTCGACTCTTCCCTTTCCTCTTCACTGAAGTCTGCTCTCATCTCAGTCATCCCCACCACCAGACACCTTAGCCACCTTATATGAAGTGAATTAAACTTCTTAAAAGTCTGGGTTTGAGCTACATACTTAGTCTCAGAAGTGAAGCTGCATCTCCCAAAACCCAATTTTTAAAATAATCCTAAGGAATTATTTTGGCAAGAAAACTGGAATACACCATAAAGTTGTACTTGACGTTGATGATTCGCCACCCTAACAAGAACTAGCAGTGCTATATGCCACATTTCCCTACACTTACTCCCATGGATTAATCTTTCGTATAATAATCCTGCCAAATATGCTAATTGTACAGAATTTATCTGCAAGTGGGAAGAGAGATCTAGACTAGTAAGCATGCGTATCAGCATGATACACTGGTCTTTGTGACTGCTGGAACTCCTCTCTCACAGTCTTACTGCTAAAATTATTATTAAATAATTGAGATGCCATAAAATGGAAGGGGGAAGTGATCAACTGCCTCACTACATAGTTTTGCTTTGCTGACTGTTTACTAATGCAATATGATTTTAAATGGTTAACCAGAGACTAGCTTCTAGGTGGGATGGGGATTAAATACAGTATAATATTAGATAATTTGACAGCTGGCACAGTATTACTGGAACCTCACCAGTCAATATCAGGGACAAAATGTATCTATAGTGCATTTATAGCCAACATTTTCCACCACAAACGCCACAGTTCAGCTTCAAAAAGGGAAAAATGCTAAAACATACTTACTTGCTGTGGCAACACAAATACTTTTACACTTTAGTGAGAAAAATAAAATAAACAAAGTTCCCATTCCATTCATATGGCATTATTCCTAATAATAAAACATGCAGAATTTAACAGATTCCATTTTTTTGGTGTGAAGATGTCAGGTGTAGTTTGTTTCTATACTCAACAAGGAGAAAGTTTTGTTTTGTTTCTTTAAACTTAAAATCATAATCATTTGCACTTCAGTACTTCATTCTTAAAAACAAGGAGTAATTTTATTACTGTAAACACAAAGTGTGCACTAGACATCCAAATTCAGTATTTTAGTTCCTTATCTTGGATTAATCTCAGCTACAAAAATTCACTGAAACAAGAACAGCTTTTATATGAAGTCAGAAAGATGCATCAAATAGTAAAATTGAGTCACAGATGCATAATAGATATAGTACCTGTAGCAAGTATTAATCTTGCAAAAAACCCCAAAGAACTCAGGAGAAGCAAGCAGATGCAAACCAAATGCTGGAACATG